CCCCTGGCCAGGCCCCCACCATCACCCTGTTCTCTGGCCAGACAATATCTAGCACCCTAGCCAGACCCCCACCCACACCCTGCCCAAACCACCACCAGCCCCCTATTCCCTGGCCAGACCCCATCCAGCACCCTGCCTCCTGGCCAGACCCCCCATCCAGCACCCTGCTCTTATCCACTGGCCAGAAACCCACCACCAGTACCCTGCTCCTGCCCCCTCCCTCCTGGCCAGACACCTACCCCCACCTTGCTCCTATACCCTATTTTCCACACAGATTCTGCATCCCCCATCCTTATCCCACTTATTGGCAGCATTGTCTCACACACTGATCCCTCATTTTTGGCCCCACCTCTGAGTGTAAGAGACCCCCATAAATTTCACTAACCGTGGAACCCAGAAGAGTTAACCTGGCCTGAGTCCTTAAAGCTCAGCCCCACCTGTCCTCCACTCCATTGGGCTGGAGTGCCAGGGGAGTGAGGAGTCTCAGTTGGGGCCACATGAGTGAGGCTTGGGGTTTTTTTTGGAGGGGTTGTTTTTTTCACCTTACTTGTGTGGTCCCTGACTGATATTTAGAACATAAGAATGGCCATACTGGGTCAGACCAAAGGTCCATCTAGCCCAATAGCCTGTCTGCTGACAGTGGCCAGCACCAGGTGCCCCAGAGAGGGTGGACCCAAGACAATGATCAGCGATTTGTCTCCTGCCATCTCTCTCCAGCCTCTGACAAACAGAGGCCAGGGACACCACTTCTATCCCCTGGCTAATAGCCTTTTATGGACCTAACCTCCATGAAATTATCTAGCTTCTCTTTAAACTCTGTTATAGTCCTAGCCTTCACAGCCTCCTCTGGCAAAGAGTTCCAAAGGTTGACTACACGCTGTGTGAAGAAGAACTTTCTTTTATTAGTTTTAAACCTGCTACCCATTAATTTCATTTGGTGTCCTCTACTTCTTCTATTATAGGAACTAATAAATAACTTTTCTTTATCTGCCCTCTCCACACCACTCATGATTTTATATACCTCTATCATATCCCCCCTCAGCGGCTGTGGGTCAGTGGCCCCTGACCCAAAACAGGTTCCCCGTCCCTCCCATAAAGACAGACTATGCTGAAACGTTTTGTGTTGGACACAATATTTTATTTGAAAATGAAGCCTGGCCAACAAGCCCATATCTGGCCACAGCATCACCACACTCCGACACCCCCCAGCGACCCTGAGCCCTTCATACACCTGAACCCCCTGCCCTGAGCCCCTCACATCCCCAAACACTTGTACTCTCACATCCCCAGTCTTCTGCCACAACACTCCTGCACCATCCGCACACTGTAAATCTCCGTCCTGAGTCCATCATACTCCCACCCTCCCTGCCCTGAGCCCTTCATGCACTCCAACCCAAACTCCTGCACCCTCACATCCACAAAACTGCAGCTGGCTCGGCACCCCACCCCTCCACCTGACCCCAACACTCTCTAGCCTGGAGCCCCTTCTCTGAGCCAGCATCCCCTTCTTCACCTCCTCCTGAACCCAAATTCCCTTCCAGAGCTTGCACTCCGACCCCTTCCCACACCCAAATTCCTCATTCCCACCCCAGAGCCCACACCTCCTGTGTCAACCCAGTGAGAGTGAATAAGGGCTGGGGACTGCAAATGATGAAGAGGAAGGGAATGGAGAAGGCAGGGACTCAAGGAAGAGGTGGGGTCTTGGGGAAGGGAAGGGGTAGATCTTGGCTTGCCCTGCTGTTTAAAAAGTGATCTTGGGTGTAAAAAAGGTTGGAGACCACTGCCTTACAGACACAATGATCATAGGTCAGGGGTTCCCAAACTTTTTGACACGGGGACCAGTAAATCCATTCATGAGCTTTCAGATGACCAGTAACATTCATTTGCATATTCATTAAGCAAATAAGGAATATGCAAATATGTTGTTTTTGGTCCTCCCAAAGCCCCCAGGGCCAGCTTTAGCAAAGCTTTTGATACGACCACCCACAATATTCTTATCAGCAAGTTTAGGGAATACGGATTGGAAAAGTGGACTGTAAGATGGATAGAAAGCTGGCTAGACCAGGGTTTCCCAAACTTTTACTTTAGTTGGAACCTGGGTTTTTCTAAGTACTTTTTTTTGCAGCCCAAAAATATAAAATTATATTAAAAAAATGAATACATTTTCATTGTTTCACTCGCTGCATCCTCCACCCAACCCAGGCCAGGGTTTGGGGGACCCAGCACCACACGGGCACTCCAGGAGGCGGGAGCAGGAGCAGATTGGGGTAGGGTATCTGGCTAGGAGTGAGGGTACTAGGAGGGATAGGGTTGCCAGGTGTTTAGTTTTGTACCAGACAGCCTGGTATTTGAGGGTTCTGTCCAGAAACAAATAGAGAAAATACCAGACATAGAAAATGTCCAGTATTTTCTAATTAGGTACGTTTTATTATCATTATTATCAGGGCTCGCTGATGCGCAGATCGCCCGAACCTGGCTCTTCTGGGATACAATCTACTCACCACAGTAGATTGTATTATTTGTCGAGCCCTGATTATTATTATTAGGTATATCAGTTTGTAGTTGCTAACTTCCTGGCTGGTCAACACGTGCTGCATGAGTGTGTCCATCAGCCAGGCAGTTTGCAACTACTCAGGGGTGGCAAAATGGAATCTAGGAGGCCAGACTCCTTCGTGTTTCGCCCGGACCATGCACGGGACGGGCAGCGCCCCAGGATCTGTGTGCACCCGGATCAGTCCCACTCCCTGCTGGCCAATTCTCTTCCCCCTGCTTCCCCCCCCCCTCCGTCCCCCAG